CAAAGAACAGCTAAAGTTTACTCTGTGGTTACTCTATAAAATAGTCTAAATAAAAATAGTTATAAAATGTCATCATAAGTCCACCATCAGTCATGAATGGGAGATGTAAGGGATTCTAGGAGTGTGGTAACTGCCCAGTAATTTAAGGTGCACATACTCCTTTGTAACATCTCTTCTTACAACCAGCGAGTCTTTATACATAACTTACATATAATGTAAATATCTCCCTGATATAATGTATTATATAGCATATATTATATATAATGTATACATTATACAGTATATACATATAGGAATATAATGTATACAGAAGTATATAATGCATACTTAATATAATGTGCGTAACATTTACATCATATTAAACGTATATTCTACATTATATAATTACATAATATTACATTATGCATTTTTATATACTATACAACATGAACCATATATTGTACATTATATTAGGGAGACATAGCCTCCCTGCCTCCAACAAAGAATCATTGGGCATACAGAGAATCATTATAAATGAATATGTATTATATATGTCAACTGTCAGGCAAGAACAAAAATAACAGATTTTTAAAGCAAATGTCCTAACAGAAATTGGAACACTTCTTAATGAAATATAACGCTTAAAAATACCAAAGCATCAAGTAAAAATAGCGAGAATTATGTTCAGCAATGTAGGCCAGAATTTTATATTAGAGATGGCATATGCTACAAGGGAGGTGATTAGACCCCTGAATCTCCATGAGGACAAGCTTCCAGGACCCAGCATGCAATATAAGAGACAGGGACATATTGTCGATAGAAGTTAGGAAAGCAGGCCTTGGAGTCAGATCGTCTGGGTATGACTCTCAACTCTATCACCTACCAGCATACGACCCTGAGCAATTTACCTAGCATCTCTGTACCTCAATGTTTTAATCTGCACAGTGTTACCTAGTACATAAGGTTGTTTGATAAATTAATACTAACAATAACAACAAATGCATATACCACTTAACTTTTTGCCAGACACTTCTAATCACTTTTCGTTTATACCTATTTACTCATTTACCCTCCCCCAAGGCTTATGAGATAGAAATTAATATCCCGGTGGAAAAGTGAGGAAATGGTGGCTCAGAGACGTTAGTAACTTGCTCAAAGACACACAACTAGTAAATGGCAAAAAGAATTCATGCTTCTAACTATGCCATCATCCTTGACACAACATGTGTTAAGGCTTTATACAGTGCCTAGTGCATAGCACGTATTCAGTAACTAATATTTATTACTAAATTATCAGTCAAACATTTGCAAGATACTGAGGTTACACCAAAGCCCAGCAGAAAAGGATGTTGTGATCAATGGGTGATGTTCCATGGATGTGGAATATGTGAATAATCACACTTGTGGCATAGGTTTACTATCTCTCTTCCACACAGAACAAAGAATTCTGATGTCTAGTTGTCTCAAGTTTTCCCTTTTCCATTTCAGCGTTTGGATTAAAAATCAGGCAATCATAATCTAATATGAGATTACCACCCTCCCTCCCTCCTCCTACTAATCCACTCTTCACCCAATTACCCAATTAAGTGTTCTTTCAAAAAGATGTTTTCATCACTTAATACTTTCAGGGAAACTACCTTGAACTGGCTACCTTATCGAATCAAAATTCCACTCCCTGGCTTTCAAGGGCCTTAATAAGTCATGAAAGGAACATGCCTTTAACTCTAGTTCAAGGACCTGCTAACCAAGCAAATGCCTGATAAGAATGGCCATATTTCATTATGCAGAGGATATCAGTGTTTGTATTACTTCAAAACAGTGATAAGCAATTTTTTATTTCACTTATTTATTTTGGACATAGCCCATTAGAAAAAAATTTTAAATGTTGAAGGATCTCATTTGATTTTTATTCAGAATATAACAAGCTTGACTGGAGGACATAAACGGAAAATTGTGAAACAGAAAATTTGCATTATAACATGCATGATAGTGTTAGTATCCAGGCAAACTTAAGGCAGCTTTTTAATCTTTAGTCCTGAAATTAGATTGTGAATCATGGAGTAGACCTCTAATGACTGGGTATGGAAAGTCAGAACTATTAGGAAAAAAAAAAGGAAGTCATAGCACCCTTAACACTCAAGATCATACAATGCAACCATTTCCAAAAGGACTTTGAAAGGCTAACTAGAGCAAATTAAAACATATGAATTACTGATCCTTATATAAAGGAGTTGCTTTTAATAAATGTAAGTTACTAAGGAACCACCAACCAGTCTGAATTAGTCTCTACGCCAGTCACATCAATGGACAAACATAACATGAATTTAATTTAAAATTTAGAAAGTCAAACACCATGTGTTTTAATGACTGAGGCATTTGCCAAAGGTTTAATTGTCTTTTCCATTTAGCATGAGGTGCTGGACTATACTAGAAGTTCATGTGATTTGCTTAGAAATGCAAATAATTTCTGACAAAAGGTACATCCAGATGTAGCTACATCCAGATTATTCCTGAGTTGAATATTCTGATGTCAGCTAAGGATTCCTGGAGGTACACTCACATGTCCTGCTGGATAATTCACATGTTCATAGAGCTGGAATAAGCTAGTTAACAGCTACCAATAAAATACTTTTGTTTGTTTTTGTTTTATTTCAAAAGGATTGTTATTGTTCCTTTGTGGAAGAAGTTGATCTTACTTTATTGAATATATCAACGGGCTTCAATTTGATGAAAGGTTTGGTGATTCATATAAATTTATGGCTAAAAATAATCAATACTAGATGTGACGCAGTTCAGTTGGGAAGAAAAGACATTCTAGAATTGTTTTTCATTTAACAAATATATATTGACCATCTGTGATCCATTAGCCCGAAGGGACAGAAAGCTGACTCAAATATTTTCAGGGATGACTATGAGTCATTTCTTGGAGTATCATTTCAAGCTACTTATAAATCTTTCACAGGGTTAAAAAAAAAATGCTAGCCTTAGACAGAATCACAAATCTAGTGGATTACAATGTGTCTAATTTGTAAATGAAGTGCCTTTCTCCAGGAAGGCACCTGGTATTTCCCAGACAGCAACTACTTCTACTCCCATATTTTGAGCAAGAATTAGCAGATTTTTCTTCTCTCTGAAAAGCAACCTCACTCCCTGGATCGATGCTAAAGTAGGATTGGGAAGAGTCACTGAGGGAGGAATATGATCAGACTGGTTTAGTGAAGTCCTAGGTGATGAAAGTAAAAAGACGTAACTATGATTAACAACTCTTGAACTATTTTTATCAGTCCTTCTCAGAAGCCAACCCCAGAGACATTCTCCTCCCCAGGAGCAAATCTCTCTGCTGAGGACACCCTTGGGGACACCGCTTCCCTCAATTTCTCTCTTCAAGCCTCTCGCTGGCAATAAATCCTACGAAATGGCAAAAGTGGGCAAGGAACTGGCCCTGAAGACCACAACATGGGTAAATGACTAGGATTCTCTGCCTCATTTCAATGGTGCTTGTTTTACCAAATAATATTTTTAAAAGTTTCTTTTTAAAATTCCCAAGAATCAGCTGATACATAAATTCCAACTGAAATTCCCAAGTAGCCAACAATGGGCTTGGATAGATGCCTGAACAGAAAAGAAGCAGCCAGCTCATTTTCCAGGTGTAGTCCAATAACATTTCATGCCTTTGAATGATGACATCGTAATGGAGTAATGGTAAACAGGAGAAGTCTATTTCTCAAAGACATGCACTTGAATTTTTTTCATTGATATTTATAGCTATAAAATGCCTACTATAATTCAGCTACAGAGTGCATTTTTGAAATTCAATTGAGCATCCATCCCACAAACAAAACTGCCCATTGAAACAAGGTCTGGAAGAAAATAAAACCCAGTGGCTTAATCTCTATAAAACTATTACAAAAAACTACCACCAGAAACTTCACACAGGAAGTCAAAAATCCAGGCGTAATTTATCTGCTGGAACAAATCTGACATTGACAGGGGCTTGAATCATGAAATCATAAATCACCATCTTACTAATATAATTTTGGAAACTCCCTAAAACCTATAGCTTCATTTTCTTCTCAGTGTCTAGCAGGACGTTTGGAAAGCAGTGTACTCACTGGAGCTTAATTTGGAAGACATCTCTTTTACTTACTACCAAACACTGCAGAAAGCCACCCACACCCATGCCACTCAAACATTTAAGATTTTTTTTTCCAGTCCTCTAGATCAGGTTCTGTTTCTTGAATTACTAACTACGTATTTATTTTTTTAACTTTTTTAAAATTAAATTTATTGGCTTTAAATTTAAATGGTTTAACATTGGTTGATAAAATTATATAGGTTCTGTAATTTTTTTAAAAACATTTCAGTAATTACACCATCTTAGACTCTCGGATATCAGCAGTGTGGGTTGTTTTAGACAGTTCTGGAAAATCATGTTCTAGTGACATTACACTTTGCGCATTTCATTAAAGACATTTAGTTAAGGCTTAACTTACTCAGGTGAGGGAAAATGTCTTAAGAGTTGTTCATCAATGGCATAAAAGTAAACATCATCTAGAGGCATATCTCATATCCTAAAAGATAAAGGTCTGTTTTTCTAACCCTGGCCCCTCCCTTCTCCACACCACGCACCTCCACATACAGTGCGGTGGTCTTTCAATGCCAACACCATGTCCAAGTTGGAACTAGAAACACGCGTGTAGGTCACTTACAGAGTCCAGCCCTGCCACCTAGATCCACAGCTTCCTGCCTTTCTCGCCAAGGTGAAACGAACCCCTAGGGGCGGGCTGGTGCTGCACACAGGCATCGCAGGCAGAGGCTGCCGATCAGGGCACTTGAAGAAAGGAAGTGAGCCAGCAAAAGGCATTCTCTTCCCGCGTAACAAACCCGAGACCCGACGCCGCCAGCGGAAGAGGGACTGGCGGCGCGCCAGGCCACCGTGCAGGCAGACCCGGCGTGCACACTCGCCTGTGCCGGTGCGCGCATACACTAATGCATGCACGCGCGCACGCGCGCCTACTTACCAGCAAACCCTGATGTCTGAGGTCTGGACCCCGCGTAGGACGGCGACTGCAGCGGCTGCCCCCGCGCCTGCGGTGTGGTCTTGGCATCCGTCTGGCCGCTGCAGCAGGGGCCGCTCTGGTTTTTGCGAGAAGGCACTGCAGCCGGGTGCTAAAGCACCCAGCGTGAAGGCGCTGACTCGCTCGCCTCGGCCGTACCTCTTCCCCGCTCCGTGGACCGATGGAACTTTGCGAGTTCCACTCGCTCCGGCTGCGTGCGTGGTTCTCCTTCTCCCCTTGGCTGCCGTGGCCCCGCAGCGCTGGGGCTGATCAGCGTCCTCGCAAACCCAGGGGCAGGCCGGCCGATCCCGAGCCTGCTGCGGTCGTTCCTGCTGCCGCCGCTGCAGGAAAGGAATTGTCACTGCGATGGTCCCGGCCTCCCCGGCCCCGGCCCCTGGGTGCCGCCTCCGCCTCTGCCTCCGCCCCCTCTTCCGCCGCTGCGGCCTCCCGCATCGTGCAGAGAAGCTTGCAGGTGTAAAAGCAAGTGTCTGCGGTGGGCCTAGAGCAAGAGTGAAACGAATGGGTTCGACTTTCTCCTCTGAAACCTGGCACGCCCCTCCTCAACCCCGAACCACCTGGACTCCCATTTGGCTCTACCATCAATTTCGCGGAAGACTACTGTGTACACACCTGTGATGCAGAGGGATTTATTTGACCATGAAATCTACTGGAGTCGGGGGTGGGGGTCGGGGGCAAAGATCGGGTTTGGGGGAAAATCCCATTTATTCATCCTATTAGGAATTCCACCTTGAGATTTATCTATAACCTACCTCCACTATGAAATACTTTAATCCTCTTTCCTCCCAGCTCCACTTCATCCCCTACGAGTAATGCAAACTATTATAATATCATCTGGATATTATTAAAATCGTCATGTGCAGTGCCTTTAGGATGGTCCTGGTATTATGCCAGACACTCCAAACATGAAATCTTATTTCATCTTCTCCACACCTTATAAACGGTACTCTTATTTTACCCATGCCGGAGAGAGACACAGAAGTTACGGTTTAATATCTGATTTGACACCAAAAGCTATTTTGATTGGCTGGGGAGAGTCTATTAATTTAGAAATGTTTAATAAACATTGCTGCTGGATGAAACACAGGCATTTTTCCACCGTTCCACAGTTTGGTTGGGAGGTAACTTGCAAGTGAGAAAAGTGACTGCAGAAAGGGGCAGTGGACTATCAGTTTTTCCTAATGTAATTTTCCTTTGGAGATTAAACTTCTAGCTCTGGCTCTGCCACTAACTGACCTGTTTAACCTCATGCTTTTCAACTTCTTAGGCCTCATCTCCCTGCATTGGTTTTTAAAATAAAATGATTTGACTATCAGATAATTTTTAAGAAGCAATGGAGTTATGTTTTTCTAATTTTGAATTTGATTCCAAATTTAAAAGTCAGAAAATTTCACAAAAATCCAGACTTTTGGCACGTTCTGAGAAAATGGAATAACTGGCAACCTTTGGTCCATGGTACGTTCTAGCAGCTGTCAGCCAGAGCCGAGGAGTAGGCGTCCCCTTCAGACTGGGAAGATAATTTTCAGTTTTCCACAGTCCCCACCACCGCTTTATGCCCCACCCCATTGGCATTTGAGGATATAGTAGACATCTGTGTTTGCAGATCTGGACTAGATAATCTCATGACCTACAGTTCCTCTAAAATTCAGTGATCATTAAGAAGTTTACCCCGATTACAAAGAAATATTATGAAACAAGGAATTCCACATAAATATTTAGCGTGGTAACTGATCATGGTCTTGCTGCCTAAAATCTGAGGAACAGAGTGAAGCAATAAAATGGAGTCACTATAGCCAAGCTGCTAAATTACTAAAATCAAGTAGGTTGATGTATGAAGAAACAATTCTATTCTTTTTTTAACTGGTCTGGGAACTTAAACTTTTGAACTATCCAGTCCTGCTTCAATGAATATATATACATATATATATATGTATATATATAATATATTATATATGTATATTATAATGTAATTATAAAATATATTATAAATTATAAAATAAATATAATTATAAAATATAAAATGTAATTATTTTTTCATTTGAATATATATTTTATTTAGAATGCAATACTAACAGCATGATGTTAGACTGTCACAAATTGGTACCGAGAAGCATACAATCTTTAAAATATGCTGTGTTCCACAGGTGATTTAAGTATAGCATTATTATTTGATACTGAAGTCAAAGACAACATTTAGATTCTTCAGCTTTGGAGTATTTAGTAACTTCAAAATGACTGTCTAGTCAGGCAGAGGAAAGAAATCAAAAGCAGTTGTTTTTTCTTCTGTTATATATAAAATAAAACCTCCAGGAAGCCCTCGGACTACCCCCGGAAGGACTAAGGGGAGAATGTTTGTGTCTGCAGACCACCTAACATCCGTTATCCAGACAAGAGGCCATCTAGAGGATTGCTATCTCAGACTCATCCAGACGCTAAGAATGCAAGACTGATTCTTTTCAAGAATGTGTTTTTTCTTGGCACAAGCATAAAAGTAGACATCAACAGCACAGAATAAAGAGCCCACAAATAAACCCACGCCTGTATGGGCAATTACTATTTGACAGAGGAGGCAAGAACGTACACTGAGGTAAAGAAAGTCTGTTCAACAAATGGCATTGAAAAAATTGGACAGAAACATGCCAAAAAATTGAAACTGGACCACCTTCTTACATCATATACAAGAATAAACTCAAAATAGATTAAAAACAAATGTGAGACTCAAAACCATAAAACTTCTAGAAGAATACACAGACTGTAAAATTTCTGACATTTGTCTTAGCAATATATATATTGCAATATATAGCAAAATATATATCTCCTTGGGCAAGGAAAACAAATGAATAAATAAACAAATGGAACTACATCAAACTAAAATATTTTTGCACAGCAAAGGAAGCCATCAACAAAACAAAAAAACAACCTACTTAACGAAAGAAGATACTCACCAGTGATAGATCTAATAAGGGGTTAATATTCTAAATTTATAAAGAATACATATAAGTCAACACCAAAAAAATAAACACTCCAATTGAAAAATGGGCAATGAGCTGACTGGTGTGTCTCAGTTGGTTGGGCCTCATTCTGCAAACCAAAAGGTCATGGGTTACATTCCCAGTCAGGGCATATGCCTGCATTTTGGGTTTGGTCCCCAGTCAGGGTGCATATGAGAGGCAACCAATTGATGTTTCTCTCTCACATTGATGTTTCCTTCTTTTTCTCCCTCCCTTCCCTGCTCTATAAAAGTAAATAAATGAAATCTTAAAAAAAAATGGGCAAAGGACTTGAATAGATACTTCTGCAAAGAGAATGGCCAATAGGCATATAGAAATATGCTCAACATCACTAATCATCAGAGAGATGCAAATTAAAACAAAATTAAGATTCACCTCACACCTGTCAGAATGGCTATCATCAATAAGTCAACAAACAACAAGTGTTGGTGAAGATGTGGAGAAAATGGAACCCCATGCACTTGTGGTAGAAATGCAGATTGGTGCAGCCACTTTGGAAAACAGTATTAAGGGGCCTTAAAAAATTAAAAATGGACTGCCTTATGACCTAGCAATTCTACTTCTGGGTAGATATTCAAAGAAACTTAAAAGAGTAATTTGAAAGAAGATACATACCTGTATGTTCATTGCAGCATTATTTACAATAGCCAAGATATGGAAGCAACCCAAGTGGCCATCAGATGAAAAAGTGGTGTTACATGTATACAATAGAATATTACTCGACCTTAAAAAATGAAATCTTACCATTTGAGACAGCGTGGAGGGACATAGAACATATTATGCTAAGTGAAATAAGTCAGTAAGAGAAAGACAAGTACCATATGATTTCACTTATAAGTGGAATCTAAAGAACAAAATAAAAGAAAAAGCAAAACTGAAACAGACTCACAGATGCAGAGAACAGACTGATGGTTGCCAGAAGGGAAAGGTTTGGGGATCTGGGTAAAAAAGGTGAAGGGTCTAAGAAGTACAGATTGGTAGTTACAGAATAGTCATGGGGGTGTAAAGTACAGCATAGGGAATATAGTCAATAATATTATAATAACCATGTATGGTGCCAGGTAGAAATATTGAGGGGAACAGTTGTGAAGTGCATGATTGTCTGACCATTGTTCTGTATACCTGAAGCTAATACAAAAATATTTAAAAGTAAAAAAAATAAACATAAAATGTGCTTTTTACTATAAGAACTCTCAGCTTTCCTTTCTTCTTTGGAATACTCTGATTATTACCTAGTTGTATTTCTGGTTGCAAACCCTAAGATGAAGAATAAATCTTTATCATTTATTTCTAGCCAAAACCTCATTTATGCTCTGATTCATTTGCACAAAATGGCTCAATATTCACTGAGCCATTTTGTCTCCACCCCTAGCATCTAGAAAACATCATGTGACCTAATTTCAACCAATCAGAGACTCCTATCCAGATCTTGCACCTGGAGTCTGTGATTCATAGAAGAAGAAGAATTTCATTGTTGGTGAAGTGGCTTTTGTGCCCATACACAGCAGTGCCAGAGGTGAGAGGTAGGAGTATCCAATGGCAGTGCCATGGTGTCCTAAGTGACTGTTTGGGTGGTGTGAGCTGTTCTGATTCTAGCTACGAAGCTACCTTGCCTGTTTGATGAGCCTGATTCTCCAGCCTTCCTGTCTCTTTGGTATGCTCCCTGATGGCCTTCTAAGACATTTCCTTCCTGGTTTAGGTAACCAAAATAGGTGTCTGTGTTTGTTACCAAGAACTCTGATATAGTGGCTTTTGGGATGGTCCAAGTTCTGTCTCCCTTTCATTCACCAAATCAACAGAAAGTGGGCACAAGTATATTATACAACTTTTATCTGAAAGATTTTAAAATATTCTACAATTTTATTTGCACTGTTAAAGATTCTATTTCAACATTTACCCCAAATGTGATGTTTTTAAAGATAGGATTTTTTTATCCTTATCAATCACATTAACAAAGATTGCATATAAATAAGCTTTGCCCTCAATACTGGTGAGGATGAAGCTGTGGAGGAGGAAAAATAATTTTTCTCCTACCCTTGTGAACTCTTCTAGTTCGATTAATAATCAAATTAACATAAAACAGATTAACAGGAGAAAATGAACTAATTTATTAGGTATATACACACAGAGGTTCCCTAAGACTATGGCATCTGAGGACACATTGGGCAGCTGAGGCTTATATGCCATTCTGGACTAAGAACAGGGAGACAGGGATCTGGGACTTCACAGAGAAAGTAGGCAATGCACAGGTGGATGAGAAAGAGAAAACA